GCTGTGTACACAAGTCTCTGCAGGGATCAGAGCTTTTGCACTGGTGAGACCTGCAAACATGTCTCTTCTTTCCTGAACTTTATTTTTCTCACGCTCTCTGAAAAGACAAGATCAGGTGATATGTGTGGGATCAGCCCTGTACAGGTGCGGATCAGGTACTGGAGGAGTAGGAAAAACATTGCTGTGTGCATTTTTTTTTTTTTTTTAAAAGAAGTCTCTGAATAGGCCAAGTCTCGCTCTTGGCAGGGTGACTCAGGCTTAGCTGGCAGACTATGGGAATCAGAGTGTGAGAAAGTCAGTCAAGCGGAGGGGGTTAAAGGCAAGTCCTTCAACATTTTTTTTTAAACTAACCCCACAAAACATCCCAGCTAGATCTAGGTACTGCAAGGGGACAACAGCCCAATCAAGGCAGAGGGACAGACGTCTCCCAGAGTGTGTCTCTGCATTTGCTAGTTTTATTATTTGAAAGTAAACCTTAAAGCATTTGAAGTAGCAAAGCTGCCAAAACGAGCATTAGTTGTGAGAGAAAATGCACGATAGCGATTGGCCTTATTCACTGCTGCCTGTCAGGAGAGCCAGTTCTCAGAGTCTTCCCAGTGCCAAAAAAGGACCACACCAGTTCACCACAAAAGGATCCATTTCTCCTTCTTGACATTAACTAGCCCTTCTAGCTCCAAACACTCAAGGCCCGATTCTCCTCCGAGTTACACCTGTGTAAAGCTTGAAGTTATCAGAGTAATGCCAGGGTCTATGTGGCATTTATTTCCCGGTCTGAGATCGCTTCACTCCCCTTCAAATATATGAGCAACAAGAAGCACAAGCAACACAGATGAGGGGACCCCTCCTGGATTCAGCTGCTCACAAATCTTTACCCAATCAGGCCAGCATTTAGGTGATCTTTTTCACCACCAGTATCCAAGTCCTCTGCCATTCACAATTTGCGTCTGTGCGCGCCAGCCTGTCCTCCACATCAACAAAAGACGCATTGTTCATTATTGCTTGAAAACATGCTCGGGCCCAGTCTGCTCGCAGTGTGTGAAGATGTTTCCCGCAGACTAGCCTCAGGGCAGACATTAGTAAACTCAGCCCTCATTTTAAATGACAGAAAGCTTTGGCTACCCACCTAGTCTGCACTCGCTTCTTCAGGGCAGATGAGCCTTGAACGGGTAAATATTGCGATGCACATAATAGCATCGTTCCTTTATTATTGCATGCCATTTCGATAAGCTAATTACCTGAAAAGTAAGAATTTGTCTACAGCACCTAGGCCGCCCCTGAAGGCGAACAGCATTTATCTTTTGATAGCCCAGTTTCTTGCCCCTACAGAAGTTGTTTTACGTTCATTGCTATGGTCTTACAGCTCTGTCTGTATGCAACAAACAGTGCTGGGTCTGTTGGGGGAAAAGGCGATCGGGTTACAGACAGCAGCTACCCTTCCCAGGGCCGGCGCCGTGAGGCACACAGCACTTTCCTCTGCACAGGGACTGACAGGGCCCCGCACTCTGAGCGTCCAAGGGCCAAAATGCGAAAAGTTTAAACCAAAGAAATAAGACCCCACCGTTAGATGAAACGTTCTGTAAACGCACCGGTGTCTGAGAGACTCAGCCAGTGAGGGGTTGATCCATTTTTAAAGCTAATTTCAATCGATAACACTCCATTAGAAACTCGGGCGGGTGGAGGACCAAACAGCCAGCGTTGGGAAAGGGGACTTGCTGGGAAGCTTTACCCCTTCCTGCTCTTTCCCGCAAAGCGAACAGCCCAGCGCTACCCCAGGCTAGTCCGCACGGATTCCTCGGCCACCTGCCTCGGCACCTGGCCCCGCCTGCGCCCACGGGCTGACCCCGGGGTGCTCGGACACCGCAGCCCTGCCGGGGCGGAACCCGGCGCAGCGGAGAGGAGACCTGGCTCCAATTCGCAGCCCGTCGAAACGGAGGGAGTGGAGCGTCCTGCCCCCAACACAGCCCCCCCCCGCCGCCGCTGTCTGGTTCCACGGGGACCCGGCGGCGAGTGGGGCAGCCAAGGGGCCCGGCGGGGAGGCTCCCACGGGGCGGCGTGGGCCGGCCCAGGGCAGCTTGCCCGCGGGCAGTCGGGCCCCGCCGCGGCGCGGGAGGCAGCCCGGGGCCCCCCGGGCAGACCGGCCGCTCGCCACGCGCCCGCCCCGCGGCAGCAGCTGGGCCGGCGCCGCCCCGCACGCCCCGGCCGCGGCTGGCAGGGAGGGAGGGCGGGCGGGCGTGGGGCTGGCCGCTCTCCCTGCCGGGGTCACCCCGGGCCCCGCCGAGCCCGCGGCTTCCCAAGGGGCCCCCCCGGCCCCGACCCGTGCGAGGGGCGCGCCGCCCGCTCCGGGGCGCTGGGGTTGGGGCGGCCCCCGGCGCGGGCCCTCGCCCCTGCAGGCCGGGGGCGGGAGGAACCCGGCCCCGGCCCCGGCCCCGGCCCCGGCGCGAACCCGCCCCCCGCCCCCGGATTCCTGCCGGCCGCGCTCGCCAAGGAGCCCGACCCGGCGCGCAGGGGGAGTGGTTTTCCCAGGCTCGCACGCAGCAGCTGCTGTTTACCTCCCTGGCGCGGCCCGCCGGCCCAACCTCCGCCGCGGCGGCCATAAAACATCCCGGCACGTGCTCCGGCTCCGGCCCCGCCGCCCGTCCGCACGGACCGCCCGCGTCCCCCGCCGGGCGAGCCTCGGGAAGCCGCGTGGTCGGCGATTGTTTCCCCTGCGGCGGGGCTCAGGGGCACGTGGAGTCTCTCTCCGCCCAGCTCCGGGCACGGTGTCTGGCGACCGCCACCGACGGTGCCCGGGCCCCCTGGCAGGGGTTAGACCAACAAACGCTGGCGCAGGGGCAGGCCTGGGGCGATCCCCCACCGCGCCCCCGGGGGGGTTTCTCGGGGAAGATCGCGCAGCTTGGGGCTGTCCTCACTTTCCCGCAAAGCGCCGGCAGCAGCGGCCTTGGAGGGTCGGCCGTGTGGCCCGAGGGCGGGGGAGCTAGGTTCAGGGGGCCCTCCCAGAGGTTTCCCCTCTCCCAGCCTCATGCAACTCAAACGAAGAAAGAGGATTGCAAGGGATGCCCTTGTGAGTGTGCTTTTCGCTTTCACTTGGGCGAACACGTCCCTCCCGCCCTAGAAAGTCAGGCACAGAGGAACAGGGCACTTCTGCTGTCCCCCCAGGCAGTCAGTCCAGGGTTCCTCATACTTGCGGCTCAATGTGCCCGTTCGGTGTCAAAGCGGAGACTCTTTGCGGATCAGCAACATCCCCCCCAGTGTTTTTATCATAGGCGTAGCTTCCCACGACAAGGTGCAGGGGCCCGGCGTGTGAACGCCAACTCGTGATGCTCCTCTAAGTGGGGACAGTTTGCAGATTAGGCAAAAATCGAAGGAGTGGCCGCTAATGAGGAGGACTGGTCACTGAGCTGGACGCAAGCAAACAATAGGCATGTTAGTATGACTCAGTGTAAATGTATCCATCTAGGAACAAAGAAAGCCGGCCGCACTTACAGGATGGGGGACTCTACCCTGGGAGATCTGGGGACCGCGGTGGATAACCTGCGGGGGGTCGCGGTGGATAACCCGCTGAACATGAGCTCCCCCCCGCAGCGCTGTGGGCAAAACACCAGATGTGATGGTTGGGTCCTTTGCACAAACAGGGGAATCTCAAGTCGCTGCAGGGAGGTCATTTGCCCTCTGTATTTGGCACTGGTGTGACCACTGTTGGAAAATTGTGTCCAAAGCTGGTGTCCGCAGTTCTAGAAGGATGCTGGAAAAGGGGAGGGGGTTCAAAGCAGAGCTGCAAGAAGGATGAAAGGACTGGAAAACCTGCCTTAGCGTGATAGACTCAGAGAGAGCAATCAGCTGATCTTAAAGAGAACACAGAGGGATGACTTGGTTACAGTCATTAAGTGCCTACATGGGGGAACAAATATTTAATAATGGGATTTGCAATCTAGGTCAGATAAATCTAACACAACCCAATGGCGGAAGCTGAAACTAGACTAATTCAGACTGAATATAAGGTGTAAATTAACCACTGGAACAAGGTACCCAGGGCTGAGGTGGATTCTCTGCCACAGACAACTTTTAAATCGGGGTTGGATGCTTTTCTAACAGATCTGCTGTGGGGATTATTGGGGGGGGGGTCCTATGGCGTGTGCTGTACAGGAGGCCAGACGTGGCCTTGCGATCTGTCACACAGTAGTGACCCCCGTCACCCTCTCAGCTTTTCTCACAAGTTCCCAGAGAAATCAGGGTGGTGCCGAGCTGTGTTTTCTGTGTTTTGTCGTCTCCAACTTTTAAAAATTAAACAAAGAACGACCATCAAAATACTCAGCATCTAGTTTAAAACCTAGGGCCAATTAAAAGGGACATTTTTTAAAATAAGGAATTTGCTGTCTTCTGCTCTCTCTCTCTCTCCAAAAAAGAAAGGGCTCTCAAGTCTGGCATCTTTCAGTGGCGCTAAATGCGGGGTCTTTGTTTTTCCTGGTCAAAGCCCGCGGCAGGGCCGGCAGGAAAGGCCCGGCAGGACCTTTGCATGACGGCTCTGAGCACGGATCAGCCCAGGCACCGCATCGACGCGCCGCTGGACCCGGCTCCGCGAAGGAAAACCATGACTTGCCCGGGGGTGTCATTTTGCAGGTTGCTAATTAACGGGGCATGCATGCAACTCCTTCTCGGACACCGGGCAGGAAGGGGCCCCCGCGCTCTCTGCCACCGCAGCACCAGGGACACAGACCCCCAGGGCGCTCCCAGGCCCCGGCTGAACGTAAAATACCAGAAGCAGCGGGGCACAGAAAGGGTTAAACGCCTTTGATTGACACTGTAGCCTCCGGTGCCCCGGGCCCAGGCGTGCGCCATTGGCCGCCGGTCGCTGCGCCTGGCAACCAATGGGTGGGCGCCGTCCACGAGCGGGGCCGCGTGTCCCTGGCTCCCATTGGCTGAAAGTTACTGTGGGAAAGAAAGTTTGGGAAGTTTCACACGAGCCGCTCGCGTGCGGCCCCGGCTATAAAGAGCGGCGGCCAGGGACGCCGGGGGACTCGCTCCGCCGGCAGCCGCCTCGCCCTGGCCCCGCGGCTGGAGCCCGAGCGCCGCAGGGTCGCGCCCCGGGGAGGGGCCCGCTTGCAGCCGGCAGAGCCCGGTGCGCGGCGCTGCGGGAAGATGCCCGCGGACGTGATGGAGAAAAACGCGTCGCCGGTGGCGGCCACCCCGGCCAGCGTCAGCGCGACGCCGGACAAGCCCAAGACCGCGTCCGAGCACCGCAAGGTAAAGGCGGGCGGCCCGCGGCGGGGGGGGGGTCCCTGTGGGGCTCGGCCCGCGGGGCTCGGCCCGGGGAGCCGCTGGTGGGGACTGCCCGCGGGGCTGGGGCGGGGGTCCCTGTGGGGCGGGCGGGCTGGGGCCGCTGCGGGGGTCGAGCCTGGGCACTCACCGCTCGCCCTCTCCGCAGTCCTCCAAGCCCATCATGGAGAAGAGGCGACGGGCGAGAATCAACGAGAGCCTGAGCCAGCTGAAAACCCTCATCCTGGACGCCCTCAAGAAAGACGTGAGTGGGTCTGCGCCCCGCGGGGCGGCTCCCCGGGGGCCGCGTGCGCGCGGGAGCCGGGGGGCGCCTGGCCCGGAGAGGCCCGAGCCCCCCCCGGGAGCCAGGCTCGCCAGCGGGCTCACGTCTCCTCTCCCCCCGCAGAGCTCGCGGCACTCCAAGCTGGAGAAGGCCGACATCCTGGAGATGACCGTGAAGCATCTCCGGAACCTGCAGCGCGCCCAGATGACGGGTGAGTGGCCGGTGCCCGCTCCCGGGCGAGGCGGGTCCGCCCGCGGCGCTCAGGGGCCTCGCTGCCTCGGTTCCCACGCTCCGCGCTTGTGTACCGCCCAGCGCCGAGTCCCGCCGGGCCGGGGGCTGCCGAGGGGGGGTGAGGGGAAGTCGGTGGATCCGGGCCAAGGCAGTGTCTTGCACAAGTCACAGCACTGCGGGGGGGTGAGGTTAACTCACTTTCAAGGAAACTGGGAGAGGAAAAGGAAAACCAGTTCTGAAGCCCTTTGCAGGTGTAAGCTCAGGCGATGGGATGCAGGGTCTGGGGTGGGAGTGAGTCAGGCAAAGCCGGCTGAAGGGGACAGGAGGAAGCGGTGGGATACAGGACCCTGTGTGCCCCCGGGGGAAGGGGGTGCAGGTTATAGCGTGAGATACGGTGTCATGGGGAGGGGAAGGAGCCAGGCTGGAATTGGAGAGGGGAGGGCATGCCTTGCTCCACTTGCCCCACAGGCTCTGATCTACGTCTCCCTCCTGCCCCACAGCTGCTCTCAGCACGGACCCCACAGTGCTGGGCAAGTACCGGGCCGGCTTCAGCGAGTGCATGAACGAGGTGACCCGCTTCCTCTCCACCTGCGAGGGGGTGAACACCGAGGTGCGCACCCGGCTCCTGGGGCACCTGGCCAGCTGCATGACCCAGATCAACGCCATGAACTACCCAGCACAGCCACCGCCCCTGCCCCCGCCCGGGGCTCCGCACGCCTCCTTCGGGCAGCCACTGGTGCAGATCCCCGCGGGGGCAGCACCCCCAGGCGGTGGAGTGGTGCCGCTCAGCGGGATGCCTTGCAAGTTGGGGAGCCCAGCGGGGGAGGCCACCAAGGTGTACGGCGGCTTCCAGCTGGTGCCTGCCTCCGACGGCCAGTTCGCCTTTCTCATCCCCAACACCTTTGCGCCTGGCGGGGCCATGGTGCCACTGTATCCCAGCGGGGGCCCCGCCGGCGGGCCTTCGCTCACAGCGGACTCTGTGTGGCGGCCCTGGTGAGCCAGCACCGGTAGCAGGACTCTGGACTATCATTACCTGTTCATATTGGATTGTGCCTCTGTACTATAGCCCCTCCGTGGGGTGGGCCACTCGTGTTTTCCATGAGAGCTCCCTTGCGCCCTCCCCCCCTTTTTTAATGTGACACCAAAGATCCTGTCTGAATGCTCTTCCGATACAATAAATGCCTCGCTTCCTTGGGGAAGTTATTTGACAATAATAAACTGTCTGACTTGCATCTGGGAGCCCCTGCCTGCTGTGTGAGCCCAGGGGTTGCCCTGCAGACAATGCCGAGGCAGGCACTGTCTAGCTGGAGCTGCCCCTAGATGTTCTCTGCCCAGTCAGACAGGACAGTCTGTACAGATCTGACCTGAAAGCAGCCTGTGCACAAAGATCTCACTTCATTAGCAGCAGTTTAGTTCCTTTTAATGAATCTGATCAGGCGCCCATGGGAAGCGCTATGTTGTTCTGTTACAAAATTACAGTCACTGAGCCAAGTGGAGAGTGAGGGGAGTTGGATTGATCCTGCCAATGAAGTCTAAATTCCAAGTTGAAATTGCAAGCACAGATGCGAGGAGAGCATTACATGCAATTAGGCCTGCTTCTTCAGGGTCTTAACCTGCTGTAAGTCAGATGTAGCTCTCCACTGAAATAAAGCAAGCTACAGAATCAGATTCATAACATTAAGAAAAGTTTACAAAAACACCCACTCTCTTCCACCGCCCCAAGAGCCGGCTGAGGGGTTTTGTTCCCTGGCATTACTCAGCAGGAGCTTGGAAAGCCATAGCGCACCAATTGAATTAAACGAGATCCATGCTTTCCTTTCAGGAGAGCTGAAAGGTGCAGTCCTTTCCCCTTGGCTAACAAGCCAGAACCGAGTCCGGCTGAGCTCCCTGATTAACACAGGGCATGCGGTTTTGATTAGGCTGTGCTTTGCCTGAGCCCTAACGCAGAAAACATGTGGGTAGGGGAGCAGCACTGGTCTATTGGGCAGATGATCTTCCCTTATAAATACCAGCAGCAAGCGCCCCCTTTGACTTGGTCATGCCCCATTTCCCGGCAAGATGTGAGCCCCAGAGAGAGGCAAATGGCAGGCTCGGATTTCAGCTCACATAACCCTCCTTAACAAGTCCTAACTCAAAGCGGACAGCTTTAAACCATGCCAGGATCTGCAGGGAATTCCTTCCAAATCCCACCACAAAGACACGTCGGATTTTGTCTGGATTGGCCAGGTGCTTGACTGCATCCAGGTGTCGGGGAAATGAAAGCCAGAAGGACTGCGAGACCAGACAGATCATACCTGTAGCCCCCCTTCCACACACATGCACTCACCCACCTCTGTTCCCCCCTCAGAGAGAGCTCCTTGGAGCTGCTGCTGGGGAAGGGGGAGGGCTAGTGCCCAGGGTCAATCTCTGCAGGGCTTCCTGCACTGCTTTTCTGTCTCCTTTCCAAGGACTATGAAGACAAAGCCCTTAGACCCCTTGAGCTGTTCTCAGTCACCACAACTCAACATCCCCACTAACACACAAGTTCTAAGTGCAGTCGTTTCCCCTTCTGTCTAGGGGGAGGGGTGCCCCATGAAAGCCTGAGGAAGAGCTCTGTAGAGCTGGAAAGCCTCTTCCTTCCACCCACAGAAGATGGTCCAATAAAAGATATACCCTCCCCCACCTTGTCTCTCTGCAATACTAATAACCTGTCTGGCTCTCTACACATTTTTCCTGTGCACACTTCACTGAAGCAGCTAAGTGCCAAATTTGTACGATACAAACACAGTGCTCCTCTCCTCTCCTCTGGGATCTGGGCTGTTGCCCCATTTCCTCATCTGGCTGCTAGTCACTTCCTCAAGTGCACCATGGAAAGCAATGGTGGGGTACTGGCGGGAGGGGTCAGTTCTGCATTCCCCGTCAGGCACAACTCCAGGCCTTCACGTACCCCAGTTCGATACAGCAGAGCTCCCTGACGCCCAGGGCAGTTCTGCCAAAGTGCAGTGCCCTGAGGGGACATGCAGGCCCCTGCTGTAGGCTTCAGCCCTGGATGAGTTACTGTTTTCAAATAGAAATTCTTCCCCCATTTACATCCCTTGCTACCTCACAGACAGCAAATGGGGTTTCATTGGGAGAAAACTGGGACAGAATTCAGCCCTTAAGTTTCAGTTTAAAAAATACTTTATAGGGAAGAGTAAAATATCTATATTAGGCTCTTCTTAATGCACATTTCCTATTTATCCTTGCTAGCAATTTATTGTAGTGTGTATATTGAAGGCCTGTTATCTGCTGCCTTGCTCAGTTTTAGCTGGCTCTACCTTCTTGTTTAAACCACGGAAAAAAAAATATCACTTAACACGGGTGTTGGAATCACATGTATTTAGTAACACAGAGCACCAGAAAGGAACAGCTTGTTTGGGTAACTGACAAGGCTACAAACTGTTCTGTGTCTGGCTCTTAAGACATCAGTATTTGGTTTCCAAAGACAGATGTTTAAACACATTGGATTAATTCTGTTCTCACTAACAGTGGTGTAACTCCACTGACTTCTGTGGGATGTCGCCTTATTTACACTGATGTCAACGAGAAAGGAATCTAATCCATTTTAACTTTTATAAACTGTTCACAGATACATGCGTTCCTCACCCCGTCCCTTATCTGAGAACCACGTCGCACCAGCTCTGGCTCCAGCTGGCCTGGAATTGAATTTATGCAAATCCAATGACGGATCATCATTAATAGTTCTGTCCTCTTCCACTGAGCAGTTCCCATCCCCTCTGTGGAAATATTTAGTTAAATGACGAAATCTATTTGAAAAAGACTGTGATGGGCTATGGGAGATCATGTAGCACATCTAGTCCTGAAGTTAAAGACCAGGAAAACTCAATCAGGACGGTGTTTAAATATTCCAACAGAGAGAATTTGGGCCAGATCTTGGAAACCCTCCCTTGCCAGAGCTGTCCTTGGGACTAGTGACCGAGCAAGGTCTGTTTTGGGTTTGCAAGATCAGGCCCCTAAAAAAAAAAAAAAAGTAGTGACGGGCCAAATTCATACCCAGGGAACTGTACTGATGGCAGCTGAGTTACACTAGGGTTGACGTTGGCCCAGCAAACTGAGGGTCTGGTCCCAGAAACTTTTACTCTAGTGAGTAATCCGTACAAATACGCCAGGCCCACTGCACTGGACGGCCCTAATCTCATGCCGAAGCGCATGGAGAATCAGCCTTTAGTTCGAAGGAGAGGGTCGGTCTATTTCGGTGTGCTGCGCCTACGTTCATCCTGCCCAGTTATGAATTAAAGCCCAAAGTTTGAAGAGTGGCCTGTCATTGGGGGTGACCGTTATTAGGCACCTTGATGTGATTTCCACAGGTGCTGAGCGCCCACAACATCATCCGAGACGCGGAGTGACTGGGAAAATCAGGGCTTAAGCTGGGCACCCAAAAAATCACTCCCTGCTTTGAAGATGTTGAGCTCGGTGGCCAGGAGAGGAAAGAAGGCCTCCATGATAACACCCACCTGCCCCAACTCACCTGGATTTCACTCCCCTCGTCTGTGACTCCACATGAGCCATAGGAACCCAGGCCAGGGTCCCCATTAGTGCTTCAACAAGAGGTGATCCTAGCCAGCGTGTGACAGCAGCTGCCAGACCCGGCTGGGATTTCCTCAGGTGTCTCGGACATTCCGGGGGATCGGGCAGCCAGAGCCAGCTCCTGCAGTAAACTCAGCCAGCAAGTAGGACAGGCCTCAGCCCAGCCAGCGGCGTGAGGATAAGCCTCAGGAGGAGGCTGAGGAGGGGCCCTTCCCCACCGAGCTGGTGATTAGGGTTATTAAATTGGTAGGCAGCAGCTGCAAACCGGGACCAAAGTTTGCTTCTCGGCGGCACATGTAGGGCCGCCCCCTGGCTGGGATGCTGAGGAGAGCACATTGGGCAGGGGGCCCAGGGGTGCTGCTCCCCCATGCAACTGCACCACCCCTGCGGGATCCATGTCCACAGGGGCTGGCCCAGTTGATGGGCCTTTGCCCGCAGCAGCACCGCGAGGGAAGGGTGCCCAATGCACGGGGCTCTCCCTGCACTACTCATCCCCCCAGGACACCTGCCTTGTCGCACCACGCACGCCCACTGCCCGGGGACCTGCCGCCGCGGCCGGCTCACTCTCCACATGCTCCCTGCCCAGGGCGGAACCGCCCCTTGCTCCCCGGGGCTGCCGGGCTCACAGCCCAAGCTCCGAGAGCCGCACAAGCCCGGTGCCAGACCAGGCACTGGGAGCACCGGTGGGCTGGACTCACTCCTGCCAGCTCCAGAACCCGAGGTCAGGAGAACAGAGCGACCCCCCTGCCATGCCGTGGGGGGATCCAGGAGCGTGGGGGAGGCCACGGGGGGCATGTCTGACACCCACCTTTGCTCGGGCCTGCGAGCGGGCAGCACCCAGCCTGTCTGCCACTGCTGTGGTCCTAGCACCTGGCAGCCTCTGAAGGGGGAGCCTGCTCCAGCCAGTCACTGGGCCCGATCCTGGGAGGAGACGGGGGGGGGGGCTGAGCAACCTGGGCCCTGGCTGATGCTGCTGGGCCCGGTTCTGCAGGGGGCTGAGCACCCTCTACTCCGGCTGACCACACTGGGCGCTGGACCCTGCTCAGAATTGGGCCCCCAAAGAGCTGGTCTTTGCGGGGTGTTTGCTGAGCTCCTGGTGTCTGCAGCTCATGTGGCCTGCAGCCCGGGCCCTGGTTTAAGGGCTGAGGGGAGGGTGGGGCTGGTGAAAGGTACCAGCCTGGCAGTGCCTGCCTCTGCTTGCACCAATCCAGGGCACAGAGGGGCTTCCACTGCTGCCAGGGGCATAACCCCATAGGGTGAGAGCAGGCCCTGACTCCCAGCCCAGCTACAGCCCACACCACCTGCTGATGCCCTAGAATGTCCCCCCAGGTGAGAGCCCAGTGTCGCACTCCTGCAAGGAGCACCCTGGCCAGCATGAGAGCAGGATGCTGCCCAGTGGCTATGCAGGAGGGCAGCTCAGGGAACGTGCAATCTCAGCACCCAGGGTGAGCCGAGGAAGCAGCTGGAGGCTCTGCCCCTCCACTCCCAGGGCAGAGGGGAGAAGTGTTGACTGCCAAACCTGTTTGAAGAACTACCCAGTGAAGCGTTGGGGTGAAGGACAGCCCAGGGGCAGGCCTTCTGGCACTGCAGAGGGCAGCCCACTGGGGCCCAGCTGAGCTTTGGGCTGGGGTACCAGTCCTAAACAATGGGAAGCCAAGTCGTCAGT